ATAGATACTGTATATAATTCTTAGTCTCTATCCACAGTTGCTAATGGTTCAGACTGAAACACTAAAGAGTTTCCATTTAGATCATGTTATTTATTCTACACACTCCTGTTTCTATTTGCTACAGTTAGCTGTGACTACAAGGTATGGTTCTCCTTTGCTCATTACAAAACATGCTTGAGTTGGCTTTCACTGCTAAAGAGGTAGGTTTTTGGAGCTAAGTTTCAAGGCAGAGTGCTTTATGAAGACTCTCTCCCATTATTTGTTTGTTTGTTTGTTTGTTTTCATTTAATTTGTATTGTTGGGGCTGGGGATTTAGCTCAATGGCACAGCGACTGCCTGGCAAGCACAAGGTTGTGAGTTCAATTCCTGGTACCAGGAAAAAAAAAAAAAATTTGTGTTGTTGGCACGTGTTTGTAGTACATACTGATTGCATTCACCATGGGGAGTTGGTACATGCACATAACACAACTTAATCCTTCTTATGTCTCCCCACCCCCTATCTCTTGCTCCTCTTCCCATTTGCAAAAGTCTACAGTATCTCCCAGTTTCCTGTTATTTGTCATAGTTACTTGGGGCATTATTTACCACTTAAAAGCCAACATTCAGATGAGAAGGATTCAGATTTACTCAAGGGCTGGCATATTGGAAGATGGAGGGGCTCTTGACCACAAAGTTCCGTCCAGGGGGTCTCAGCACTGCACAAGGCTTTTATAGGGAGTGCAAGGAGGAGTAGGGAGGAAGGCTATATGCTGAGCAGGGTCTTCAGCATCTATTTTTTTCTGGCTATAACATCACAATGGGCCTCAACCTGCTGGGGTTAGTTTCCATAGCTCTTTCTAGACAGACACATTACCTCATACCAATCCACATGCTTTGTGGTAGGTGGTGTGTACAATTAACTACTAAGCCATACATCATGCATTCTGATGTGACCAGAGTTCTGCAAATCTAAGGATTATTTAGCAATTAACACTTTAACCATTTAGGTGGTTTTCTGTTTAGAATTTCAGAGTGTTATACAAAAGGGAGGGTGTAATCTCTGTAAAAAAAAATTTTTTTTTTGGTCTTTTTTGAGACAGGGTCTCATTATACAGTTCAGACTGTCCTTAAACTCACTTTGTAGCCCTGGCTGGTGTCGAGCTCACAGCAGTCCTCCTGCCTCAGTCTCCTGAGTGCTGGAATTACAGGCGTGAGCCACCATCACTGGCTTTACAAAAATTTTTAGAGGCAAAGGGCGGGGACATAAAAGACAAAGGACAAGTCTCAGAAGAGTGGCCTATGTTATGGCACCAGGTCTTGGGACAAGTTCCACAACTACTAACACCAAGACTAGATAGTAGTCGGAAATATATTCACTGGGCCTTAGATCCAAGAGTATTTCTGTAACGAAAATTTGGAAAAAGGCAAGTGTAAATTGCTTACATTTAGTTACCATTTTAAATTGGCTTTCCCCCTGTACCTGTTAACTGATTGGCTTTCCTAATCTTTCCCCCTCAACCCTCTGCCTTTCTAATTAAAATTTTTTTTGTCTTTTTTTGAGACAGGGTCTTGCTATGTAGTTCAGACTGGCCTTGAGCTCACTTTGTAGCCCAGGCTGGTCTCAAACTCGCAATGATCCTCCTGCCTCAGCCTCCCGAGTGCTGGGATTATAGGCGTGCACCACCATGCCTGGCTCATAATTAAATTTAAGATATCTCATATTTTTCCTTCTTTAAATTTTTCTTTTATCAGCTTTTAATTTACATCCACCTTTTGAATAAATTTTTCATCTATTAATTTAAGAAAACTCTGAAAGAATTAGGAACTTGTTTTAGAATAATCATTACCAGACTGAAAAGCATCCAATAGGCAATGAAATCTCTGAGTAGAATTAAGTTTTTAAAATGTTGTCAAAGTAATAGTACTCATACCATTAGGGACGGCGGGACCACTCTCCTTGACCCAAATGAACCTGAACAGCATCCCAGGACCAACACCCATGACCTTTGTTCTAAGGTCCACTCCTAGGTGCAGAAATAACGATAAGGGTCCCTGGAAACTGTGAAATTACAGACTTGGAAGACTTGGAAGCACCAATGTAGACCTGCCCGCATGACCTACAGTGACCTTTCTTTACTTGGAACTTGTTAACGATCGGCAGTCTTTGATATCTCTCCTGCCCCTCCTAGCTGTATCTCTCAGGCGGTACAAGTTTGCACTCTCTGAGCACCTCATCGCCATGCCTCGAAAAAATGAGGAGGGCCTGGGGATTTAGCTCAGCTGCACAGCGCCTGTCTGGCAAGCGCGAGGTCGTGAGTTCGATTCCCGGTACCAGAGAAAGAAACAAAAAAAAAGGAAAAAAAAAAAATTTGAGGAAATCAGCCCGGCCTGGGGGTGCACGCCTGTAATCCCAGCACTCAGGAGGCTGAGGCAGGAGGATCGTTGCGAGTTTGAGACCAGCCTGGGCTACAAAGTGAACTCAAGACCAGCCTGAACTGCATAGTGAGACTCTGTCTCAAAATGACAGAAAGAAAAGGAAAAGAAAAATTGAGGAAATCAAGGATTTTCTGCCCAAAACCAGGTGGAAGGATGCCAAATCTGTCAAGATAAAGAAGAACAAAGATAACATGAAGTTTAAAGTTCAATGCATGGGCTGTGGCTCTGGTTCAGTGCTAGAGTTCCTGCCTTGTATGCACAAAGCCCTGAGTTTCATCCCCAGCACCACACACACAAAAAAGTTCTATACAGTAGATATCTTTTAACCTTGGTCATCGCAGACAAAGAAAAGGCAGAGAAACTGAAGCAGTCCCTGCCCCCAGCCTTGGCAGTAAAGGAGTTGGCACGAACCAGCCAGACTGATGTGAAGTATATTAAGAAGCTTCGGGCCAGGGATATAGCTCAGTGGCCCAGCACCTGCCTGGCAAGCACAAGGTCCTGAGATCGATTCCCGGTACCAAAAAAAAAAGCTTTAAGAGTCAAATAAATAAATCAATAAAGGTTCATATATACAGACTGCACCTCATACATTCAATTGTAACTGAGTGAATTATGGGAAAGGACATGCACAGCAGATACAACTGATACAACACAGTGCTGCATCGGTGATGTCACTCATGTCCTGAAAGACCCAGTGGGAAGAGCCCCAGGCCAGGCGCACATTTCACATCCTTAAACCCAGCATATTTTCTGGGCCTGACATTTTCCCTTCTGCAGTAGGAGCCTGCTCACTCTGAGCACCCCTTCGCCCTTTAGATGTCATTAAAGCAAATTTGGCTGCTTTTTGCTTACTGCTATCGCTGTGTCTAGATGTTCCCCTAAAGCCTCGTGTGGTCCTAGGTGAGGCTGTTTCAGAGGTGGCTGGATCAAGAGTGTGTGATGCTGGGTTAAGGGTGTGTGATTACTAAACTCGTCCATTGATTGGTTGGGCACCCATGCTAAGCCGGGTAATCTGGATAAAATATAATGGACAGAGAGAGAGAGCTGCTGTGGTCATTGCTCACTGCTCGTCGCTTGCCGGTTGCTGCTTCACTGTGGCTACCTTCTGCCTGCCCTGCTCCGCCATGGACTGTTTCTCTTCTGCGATGCCCCTCTGCCATGCACCCTGCGTTGGAGACAGCCAACTATGAACTGAAACCTCTATAGACTGTGAGGTTTGTAGATAAACCTTCGGGTGTCAAGTACTTTGTCTCAGCAATGAGAAAAGTAACTGAGACACCATTGCATGCAGTGTCCAGTTCTTTGTGTGTTTTACACGAGAACCTGGAAACCTATCCTTGTCACCCACAGTAACAAGAGCAGTTGTGCTCAAAGTAAAGAAAACGTAAATTTCAGAGAGGCTAGTTTTCTCTCAACCCTAGACAAAAATCTTAGTTCCCAGAATACTTTCCCCAAATAGGAACGATCTTACAAACAAACAAATGAATAATCTTTTAGGTGTTTAAAATATGCAAAAGGAAAGAGGAAACCTTTTGGAATTGTTCTCCATTGTTTAATTGCCATTTTAAAAGCTAAAGAAACTGAGGATTTAAGATATTAAATATTTTGTTCAAGGTTACAGTTCTGGAGAACACACATTTCACTAGAACCTAATGCAATCAGCCCACCAGTTCCCACTGTTAAAAATTTGCTGATGGTATGCAAGTATTTCCTTGCATCCACCTATGAAATAAAAAAGAATGGGACTGGGATCGAGGTAAGGAAATCAGTAGTTGTTCTTCGCCTGCAAGCATCTGTAAAGGCTTGATAATCCCTTTTATTTCAGAAAGCCCTGGGTCATTTTTAGGCTAACAGAACTAATGGCAGACTATTTACTGTAAAATATGCACAACATAAAATTTACCACTTTAAGCTTTTATTTTTACCCAGAGAGTGCTTTGCTATGTTGTCCAGACTGTCCTTGAATTCCTGGGTTTAACTGCTATTTCTGCTTAAGCCTTCTGCATAGCTGTGGCTACAAACATTACAGCATACCAGACCAATTTTAACCACTTTTAGGCACAGTATATAGTTTTGTGACATTAAATACATTCACATTATTCACCACCAGCAGCACCATTCATCTCCAGAGCTTTTATTCCCAAACCAAGACTCCATACTCATTTATAACTTCCCATTCCCCTCTTTTCCCAGCCCCTAACAACCCCCGATTTCCTTAAGTCAGATATTTTTAAGGAGAAAAGAAATAGGAAGGTGTTCCATAGCTGGTGGCAAGTGCTGCATTTCTGCCTGATCTGAAGAGAAACCAGAGTATGTCTGTGTCATGCTAAAACTATCCCACAGAGAGTTTTATGCAGAGTCTCTGCACCCAGTGTGACACCCAGTTCATTCCAGTGCCTTGGAGTATACTGCATGGGCCTGAACTGACCTGCCTGCAGCCTCACAGACTTCTGTTGCTTGTGAGACATTACTCCTAGTCTTGGTATCTTGCTTTAAGTCCTCCTTACCTCCTGACTGCTTTTAAGCTTTGCATTTCAGGGCACGGACTCCAGGTAGCTTGATGACCGTCAGCCAATGCCAGCTCAATTCCCACAGCACCAAGAATTTACTATTCAGCAGCCCAACCCTGCAGTCCAACTGACCCGGTAAAGGCATGCTAGGCCTTCCTTCTTATCTATGAGTGTCAGACAGTGAATTAGGATTATTGAAGGCATTTGTAGCTCTGAATTTGTTCCTCCCTGCTTAAGAAAAGCAAATAATGGTCCTAACATAATAGGCTAGATAAGATTTATTTTTTAAATAAAAGCTCCCTCTTCTATTTGTCGTATTATGATAAAAATACAAATGCTGAAAACAGTATGCTTGGTCTGAAAGTTAAACTAATGGTCAGCAGAGGGTTACTTGTAAGTTAAAGAATATCAGGAGTTTAGAAACCTAAGAATTTAAGCAAAAAGCGTCATCAGCTAGGCAGGACAAAGATTTTCATATCCTGAATATAATCCTGGCAATGTTGGAGATCTCCTCCGGGCCTTTAGACAGACTATTTTGTCTGCGTGTAAAATGGTTTTGACTTTCACTCCTGTGCAGCCTCGGCCCAGGTGAAGGCAGGGAGTTGCTATTTGATAGGGCTATTTGCATTTCAAAGCTAATCAGCATTAAGCAATCAGCAGGCTGGTAAAAGAAGAGTAAGAGGGTTACTGTGTGTATTTTATTATCGTGTAAACTTGGGAAAACAAGCTGAGAGGCTGAAGGAGTTCACTCAAATTCCAGCAGATAAGAAAGTGGCTTATGTAAAAGGCCTTTTAATGAGTGAGTTACTCCTCACTTCCCACAGAGACAGCCTGGAGGGTCACATGACTCCTAGGTTTCATGAGGAAATGAAAACAAAAGCAGAGAGAGAAACTATTTTTTCAAATTCCATACTGAAGGTAAAAGCACCTCTTACCTTTATTAGCTGTTATTTCTCTGTAACTTTTGAAACCTTTTAGTGGTCTGAGTTAATTAATAATTATACTTTATTGTCCAATTCAGATAACATTTGATTATAGTTCTAGTTCAGTGTTTTTTAGTCCTGGCACATTACAATCAAGAAATTAGGGGAAAAATTGCTGATGCTGATTCTTACTTTAGAGAGTTGGCATAATTGTTTTGGGTGTAGTCTGGTCATCAGTATTTTCTGTTTCTTCTCAGGTGATTCTTCCGGCTTGCTGGTTGAGATGCCCTAGTTTATAGTATATTCTTCTTCACTAGGAAGACCTCATTGATTCTACTGTTGTTTGAAATATGAATCCTAAATTGTAACATGTACTGGTTTAAAAAAAAGAGAGAGAGAGAACTTATCAAAGTGCCTGTAAGAGTATGTTTAAAACTGTAAAGATGTACCATTTTACTATTATATTATCTTATTATGAAAAATGTATAGAAGAAAAGACATTTGTAACAGGATTAATAGTGATTTTTTTTTTCCCCTACAGTCTTGAGAATACTTTTGGCCATTCTGCTTTGGAAAACACGTTTCCACAGGATAACATCTAAATTCCTTACCTTATTCTTACTGTTATATACCCTAGTGTCTTAGGTTGTCTTTGTTGCTTTTTTGTTGTTGTTTAATTAATGTTATCTATCTATGTTAGTTAGTTTTCTGCCACTGTAACAAAATACCTGATATAGGTCATTTAGGAATTGAAGAGAGGTTTATTTAGGTCACAGTTTGGGTAGTTCAAGTCCCAGGGGAGCAACCTCATCATTTTGAGCCTCAGGTGAAGAAAATAAATGGTAATGCGGGGCTCAAGTGGTGGAATGAGCAGTCACATGTCAAACTTGTAACAGAGAAAAGAGGTTGGGTAGAGGTCTACAATCCCTTTCAAGGGTACTCTATCAATGGCCTAAAGACCTCCTAAAAATGACACCACCTTCCCTGGGGACAAAACCCCTAACATATGGACCTTTGGGTGACTGTTACTACTTGTATCTAGATGTCCCCTCAAAGCCTCCTGTGCTTGCTGGGTGTAGTAGTGCATCTCTGTAATCCCAGCACTCTGGAGGCTGAGGCAAGTGGATTTCTGTGAGTTTGAGGCCAGCCTGGGCTACATGGTAAGTTCAAGGTCAGCCTAAACTACAAACCAAGACCCTATCTCAAAAAATAAAGAAAGCCTCATGTGTTCATAGGTGAGGCTTTTTGGAATTGGCTGGATCTATTATGTGTGATATTGGAAATAGCAGTATTAAGTCAGTTCCAATGATTGGAATTAGCATAGCTCTGGGTGTGGCTGCATGAATTTACTAAAGACAAAAGCTCCACTCTGGTGTGGGAGGCACAACTCAAAAGGCTTCTATCCTGGATGGGATAAAAGGGAAAGGCAGGCTTGCTGCTGCTGCTGCTGCTGCTGCTTGCTACTTCCTGCCTGCCCAGCCATGGACTGTTTCTCATCTGCCATGCACCCTGCCTTGCAGACAGCTTACTATGGACTAAAACTTCTATAAACTATGAGCTAAAATAAACATTTCCTCCTTTAACTTATGAGTATTGAGTATTTTGTCCCAACAACGAGAAAATAACTAAGACAGTGACACTACCTGTATTCATACCTCAGAAATTCCCTACTGTTGTGAGTTACTATTATTGCTTTGTTGTTGTTTTATTAGTGTTATATACCTTACTAACTTGTATCCATTATCTGGAGGAGTCTGAGGTGGGAACTTGTGTGTAGAAAATGTTTTTGGTGTTTTTTGTGGTAGTGGAGATTGCATCCAGGGCCTTTACACCAAGGTACACCCCTAACCCCCCCTTCCTTCCTTCCTTTGTTTCTTTCTTTCTTTCCTTCTTTCATTTCTTTCTTTCTCTCTTCTTTCTCCTTTCATTTCTCTTTCTTTCTCTCTTCTTTCTTTTTGAGACAGAGTCTCACTAAGTTTCTAAATTTTCTAGGCTG